GTCTACTGCCTACTCCCTCAGGTAATCAAGATGGCACATGCGGTCGACGAGGCTGTGCCTCCGATCACAGAGGAAGAGAGAGGGGCGGTGGAGCTTCGGTCTACGCATGCAAAGCTTGAGCAGCAGGTCGATGAGCTGAAGGAGCGCATCGAAGAGTGAGCCTTGCCGCGATCCTTGAGTCGCCATTACGGCTTCCGAACTCACATCTTAACATGTTCGTCTCAGAAAAAACGAACGCATATCTGCTTCGCTAAAGACAAATCAGAAACAGCAAGCCAAGTTTCACTTGCGGTCGCGGAAGCAGCTGGAGGAGCTGCTGGACCAGCGCCTCGGTGCGCTCGATACTCTCGGAAATGTTTTGCTGAAGCTTGAGCAAGCTGCTGGAGACGCCGAAGTGAGTATTGCATTTTCGGTGCAGGTCTTGAGGCGTGCCTGTCTCAAATTATATTGCATCCGAACCCGGCGTGCACCCTGCGCAGATCGTCAAGTCCTACGCACTGGCCACGCAGACCATGCGCGCTCTGCTCTCCCAGCCAGCTCTTCACAGGGATCACGTCGACTCCACCTTGGAAGAATTGTCGGACGCGTTGGCTGAACAGAGCGAGGTCAACGAGACGGTTCGTGCGGGCTGGGAAGATGCCCGAAGAGCAGCTACGGGCAAAAGCATTGCTGACGAAGAAGAGGAAGAAAGGCAGTTGGAAGAAGAGTTCAAGGCGCTCGAACTGGAAGAGAAGTCCAAGGAGGTCGACTCCTTCGACCCGCGACAAGCAGCGAAGAAAGCGACGGCTGAGCATCAAGAGTCCCTCGAGCTGCCCGACGTCCCTGATACTACCGTGGGACAATCAAAAGCGGCGAAAGGGGACTCGGGGGCGCAGGAGCACGCGATGCTCGAGAATTGAGGTGGGTATCTTTGGCCTTCCAGCGGCTCACTTGCCCTCGTTCGGCCCACCACGATGTGTGCTCAGGTTCGAACCACTTGCAGCAATTTTGAACAACATACCACGGCCACTCGGGGTCGCAGCGGGAATTGAGGACTCACCATCGATCGGTCGGCACATTTGGATGATGTTTTGGTCTCGGAAGCCCCGGCGCCAGGTCCACGGTCTCATCAAGGCGAGCAGGGAAGTCAGCACACCGTTTGTGCAGTGACGCTCGACGTCAGGCCCCGTGCGACCACAATCCACCACCTCTAGCGCCGAACCAACTCATCGTAGCCTTACAAGCCACTCACCGAGACTTTGACGCAGCCAGCCAATCCGTTGCACGATTTCCGTTAGGGATTCGAAGCGCCCTCAACGGCCAAACTAGGGGTCGATCGATCCTCCAGGAGGCCCTATCATTGTGCGCCAATTTCGTAGTGTCCAGGTGTGCCAAAGTGCTGCACTTCGTACAATGTGCCACTTGTTACGGTCTGTATCGAAAGACAGAACAGCAAAAATTTCGGAGGGCAAGCCTGCGCAAGGTTCGCTGATGCCCGCGTTCAATCAAAGCTCCGCGTGAGGCGCAGGTCCTCCGCATCGGTATTGTCCCACGTTGAGCTGAGCATGTGCTCAAAGCTGCTCAGAGCATAGCGCTTGGTTGGTGAAGAGTAGACCTGGGCATGCGCATGTCCATTCAGGCACGAGAGTGACACTGCAATCAATTTGGGAAGCCAACACCGAGAGCGACCATCAAAGAATGCGTGCAAAGCGCCTGCAGCGCGAGCCCGTCATCGGGCGTTGCCTTGCCGCCGCTTTCGAGCAAGCTCGCATGCTCGGTCCAGCTAAAACAAAAAAGAAAGCGAGGAGATCGACCAAGTCAGCGGACAGAGGCCAGAGGCGGTTTGCGCCGAGATGTATATCAGCTTAGAGGGGTGTCGCTACACCGCGCCTTTGCTCCGGGTGACTGCCATCGACGATGCATCGTGTTTGGGCGGTCTATCGGGTCCTCGGTCGGTTTCAGCTAACGCGATGGACTCTGACTGCGCCTCTCGGAAATTTGCGTTACGATTGCCAGCACGTGGTGCGCGATCAGTGCGGCAGTAATCTGTACGGGGTAGAGTCGTGATTTCCGATCTTGAGTTGGGGGAAATGGTGTATACATGCTCTGCGTCAAACCTCCAGGACAATGTCTGCCTCTCACTACCTTGCGTATGGAAATTCTAGTCATTCAAATCGATTGCTACATCGCAGCTTCAAGCGCCTCACAATAAGTTTGAGGTGCTAACCACTGCAGATGCAGCCGCAACACACTAGCAGGGGAGAGCTGCTACACTGCAGACCAGCTTTTGCAGGCACTCAGACTATAGCGTGATGCATTCCTCGATCGCCCTTAAAATGCGCTCATCCAAGAGCCACCTCAATCGGATGATCTCCTCACCGACCTTCACTCGGCCCATCTCCCCTCCTCAATCACACCTCCGCAACCTCAACACACCTCCGCGACCTCAACACACCTCCGCGACCTCAAACACCACCTCTACAACCTCAAAACACCACCTCTTCCCTTTCAAGCCCTCCTTTCAAATCAAGACACCATGCCATCGTTCATGCAATGTTTGCTGCATGCCAGCGTGCTGTGTGCCGTACTCATGAGCACCATGAGCTTCGGAGCCCCTCTACCTCCGACGTCCACTCAAGCACTTGCCACTCGGACTTTTGCACCATCTCTTTCGCGCTCGTCGGATGCGGCGTCTTTCGTCCGCAGACGTCCTACCCAATCGTCGGAAGAGGAGGAGGATGAGCGAAGCAAGCAAAAAACCAAGAAACATGGCAAGAAAATGAAAAAGTCTCCGGGCGGTGCACTCCGGACACTCCTCGAGGAGCAACCGCTCCGCAATCCCTTCTACGGACCAAGGAGTGACAACAGTCTTCAAGGAGGCACGCAAGGCCTCGATGCTCGCTCTCCGATGATCGATGAAGGTCCTTTCCTAAATCCACAGTTCCACCACACGGCGAAGCCAGGCCCTGGTGCTGAACCAGTAGACATCAATGCCGCAGCTTGCAGCAATTTGAAGAAGTTTTGCAAGAAGTCAGCAAATCACAAACTGCCCGCGTGTCAGCAATACCGTTCGAAGGACTCTGTGTGCAAGAAGAAGTCAAAGGCCAAACACTCGGCGATGCCACCAGGTATGTTCACCCCTCCGCCGGTCGTTGTGAAGCCGGTTCCCGGATCTATTTGGGGACTATGCCGTCGCAACGGCGAGATTGGACCATGCTGGGGCGGTAATATTCTTGAACAGCGCGCTCGATCGGTGATCGCGAAGATCGGTAGTCTGAACAGCAGATCTGGGACGGCCAACATCGCCAACGTCCTTCGACGAGGTCTAGCTGCTGCTCGCAATGCTGTGGCTCCATGTCGCCGTTCGGAAAACGGCTGCTGGACCGACGAATTTGGCGTCGAGGGAAAGACGCGCTCGCTTCTAGAGCGTCTGTTTGACCGCTACAGACGCTTGGCGTTCCTTGCAGTCAACACGATCAACCCGCTTGTCCGCCGCACGCCAGCAGAGGTCCACCGAGCGCTCCACGGCAAAGACGCGCCAAACGATGTCAAGCGCAGCTTTCTCGAGGCCTTCTTTGGGCGCACTGCAACCAGCGCCAACATCACTGTGCATCCGCTCAGTCGACGTGCTCTTCGCAACGGCCGTCACTAAGAGCTCTTTGGACGCGAGCTGATCATGACTCAATGCATCATCATCCACGACGGTCCATTTGTCGCGCACTGCGTGCCGACCAATCAAATCGCCCCCTCCGCATCCATTTCTCTTCAGAGTCGCTCACACACGGGCGATGTCAGCCGCGCGGTCTCCAGAGCCTGTCTTGACGCTTTTAAACAACTCTTTGGTGCCATGGAGCGCCATTTGCTCTGAGTTGTAGGCTCTACGTTGTTTTACGCGCTTCGTCGCGTACCCTCCTCTATCCAATCGATGTCTTTTGCCCATCAAAGAGTGGATCACTAGGAACGGGAGATCTGCGTGGCGGTCCAACTGTAATCGTTCCCAACGCATGACGAAAGCTCTAGAACAGACATTCACGACTGAGCATTGGGTCCAGCGCGAGAGACATGCGCTGTCCGCTGCATTTACTAAACTTCCACCCGGGCAAACTCGTGACTGGCAGCAGCAAGCCATCAGCTTTGTAGCGAGCGCATGGAAGGACGAGTTTGCCACACTCGTGACTTTTCAGCTTTGATTAGCGCGCCGTTTGATTGGCTAGCAATGTACCGAATGCACCTGGCCAGTGAGCGTCCTTTCATTCGTGATTAGCGAACGGCGAAGCGACGCAGTGTTCGAAGCAGGTCTGAATTGATGACTGTCAGGGTGCCGCTCGCCAGCAGAAGGTACAGTACTCACTCGTGACTGCTGCTGGCAGGATGTGCCAGGGCGGCATGAGAGGAGAGGGAGAGGGAGAGGGCATGCGTGCGCTCTTTGCAACCTTCGGCAACTGAACGCACGACTTGCATCTGAGTGTGGGGGTGGAGGCTTTGTGCCAACACGCGAGCAGTGTCAGTGTGCAAGAGGTGATCGGTCCGTGCACATGCGACCAGCGCGCAAAACGAGCGCGCAGGCGTCCGGCCGGGCATTGATGCATGGCGGCGTCTGAAAGCTGACGCAACCTCGCCGCGATGTTGGTGGCGCGTGCAGGACGCGTGAGTGAAAAAGTGCCCTGAAGAGGCAAGTTTGGGGGGCCAATCACGTATGCATATGCAGCAAGAGCGTGCGTTGACGGCGATTGAAAGACGAAGGCCGACCATGCGCTCGCTCCATGAGCAGTCACAGTCGTGAGCTGGCAGCCACATCAATCCACGAATGCCGTCACACGGTGGGGCCTCGCTTGAGGATGCACGACGGTCGGCGAACCGGGCGTCCATGGCAGCTGGTGTGAATGCGAATTGCTCACCTCGAGCGTTGGCCCAACAGACGTGAGAGATTGCTAGACGCTTCTTTTTGCTCCCACGCACAAGCGAATGCTGCGAGCTACGCAGACGAGATATATAAACTCAGAGGTCTGCGCCGTGTCTGCCTCACCCCCTCAACCACAACTCTCGCGAGTTTACTTTACCCTGCACAACCGCACACACAGCAGACATCCACAATGCCTTCCTCTGAAGTCTTCACTTCCGGCCCGGAGCACGTGGCTTACACCACCTCCAATGGCGCCCCTTACCCTGAGCCTTACCAGGCCCAGCGTTTCAGCAATGGCAAGAAGAACATTGGCGGTCCCTTGCTTTTGCAAGACTTTCACCACATCGACCTCTTGGCACACTTTGACAGAGAACGCATTCCCGAGCGAGTAGTGCACGCCAAGGGCGGTGGTGCTCACGGTGTCTTTGAGGCCACTCACGACATCAGCGACTTGTGCTGCGCCGAGGTGTTCAAGAAGGGTTCCAAGACACCCCTCACCATGCGCTTCTCCACCGTCGGTGGCGAGTCTGGCTCACCCGACACTGCCCGTGACCCCCGCGGCTTCTCCGTCAAGTTGCGCACATCGCAAGGCAACTTGGATTGGGTCTTCAATAACACTCCCATCTTCTTCCTGCGCGACCCCGCAAAATTCCCTCACTTCATCCACACTCAAAAGCGCGACCCTCAGACCCACTTGAAGGATGCAGACATGTTCTGGGACTACCTCTCCCAAAACCCAGAGTCCGTTCACCAAGTCATGATCCTCTTTGGTGACCGAGGTATCCCCAAGCGTCATGACTTGCAGCACGGCTACTCTGGCCACACCTTCAAGTTCATCAACGCTCAGGGCGAGTGGCAGTACGTTCAGATTCACGTTCGATCGGACCAGGGAACCGACTTTTACACTCAGGAGGAAGGGGTCAAGCTTGCTGGCGAGAACCCCGACATTCACAACCAGCAATTGTTTGAACAAATCGAGAAGGGTCAATTCCCATCCTGGACCGTCAGCGTACAGACCATGACTCAAAAGCAAGCCGAGGATTTCCGCTACAGCGTCTTTGACTTGACCAAGGTCTGGCCCCACGCCGAGTTCCCTCTGCGACCTGTGGGCAAGATCACTTTGAACAAGAACCCCTCCAACTACTTTGCCGAGATTGAGCAAGTCGCATTCGCACCCAGCCACCTCGTGCCCGGTGTCGAGCCAAGCGCAGACCCAGTTCTGCAGAGTCGTCTCTTCTCTTATCCCGACACACACAGGCACCGTCTGGGTGTCAATTACCAACAGATTCCCGTCAATGCTCCGTTGGTCCCTGTGGCCAACTTCCAGCGCGACGGGTTCATGTCGGTGAATGGCAACCAAGGCAATCGACCAAACTACGTGTCCACCATCAAGCCATTGCAGTACCCCAAGCAGGTCAGCGTTCAGGATGCCGTCCACCAAGACTTTACCGCCTCGACCATTAGTTACTTTTTGTCTCAAGTCGACGACAAGGACTTTGAGCAGCCTCGCGCGCTTTGGGAGAAGGTGTTCGACGAGCAGGCCAAGGAGCGATTCATCAACAACGTCTCTGGTCACTTGGGCGGCGCAAAGTCTCGCGAGATTATCCAGCGTCAACTCGCCGTCTTTGGCCGCGTGCACCCAGACATTAGCAGCCGCATCAGCGCAAAGATTGGCGCTTGACAATCAGCCGTAGCTCATTTGTGATCTCTTGATTTCTCACCAAATCAATACACCCACACATCTTTTCTTCTACTTTTTCCTTTCTGCCAACAGCGGGAGCTACATCGTGGATGAGCTACACCCCACGACGCGCGTGTTCCGCTTGAACACCGCAACATCTTCATCCTCGACGAAACTTTTTTTTTTTTATGTCACACATTTGGCTAGCTCTCGCGTCACTCTTGTAGGCTTCCCCACATCCCTTAGTCTCCGCTTCCACGTTTGCTCAAGCGCACCCGCCGACAGATAATGCAATTGATGTCTTAAGCAGTGACTATTGCGAGGCCGAGTTGTGCGCACGCGTGCGCGGTAGTGATTGTGCGGCACAGGCACGTAAGAGAATCAATCGTCTGTCTACCTCTGCGTCGAGTGCGATCCAGACTGCGCCGACGAGCTAGATTTTTGCATCGCATCGCTCACTTGACGCTGTAATGGACTTCGCTGCAATTGCGTATCCTCTCCGCAGCTTGCTCAGCCGTCAGGTCTCTTTGCGGTTCCGCCATCATTTCGAATCCGACCAGGAATTTGCGTACCGTAGCGCTCCTGAGCAGCGGAGGATAAAAGTGAATGTGAAACTGGGCAAAGTCTGCCAAGTCCGAGAATGTCGTTGCCCATGCGCCCTTTTGACCAGTCGTCGTCGTCGTAGCGGGCACGGGTCTCTGATGAATGCCCATGGAGTAGGGAAAGGAGCAGCTGAAAATATTGTCCAGCCGACAAGCCGTGCGTCCGAGAATGTCTGACAGACTCGAAAGCTCCTCCTCTGTCATGTGTGCTAGACTGTTGATGTGCCTCTTGGCTGGCAGGATGAGCGTCTCAAAAGGCCAGACTGCCCAGTAGGGCACCACTGCGACGAAATGCTCATTGAGCGTGATCACACGAGGCCTTCCGGGCGTGTTGAGCTCGAGGTGAACATATGTCAGCAGCAAGCTCGGCTTGCCATTCGCATCCAGACGCGCGCCCCTCAGCACTTCCGGCGCAGCGTTGGCTGGCTCCAAAGCGTATGCCTTTTGGTTCTCCAACTCCACTTGTGGCTCTTGAGGTACGTAGTCTAGAGACCAAATCTGGCCGTGTGGATGAGGATTGGAGCATCCCATGGCTGATCCCTTGTTCTCGAAGATCTGAACATACTTTACAAAGGGATTTTCTGAGGGTATGCGAAGGTAGAGAGATTTCCAGGCTTGCACGATCCTGAGTATGTCCACACTGGCGCTGTACGGAGCGCTGGTCAGCTGCGCGATGGTGAGGTTGTGCGAAGGGTGAAAGCAGATGACGTAGCACCTCCCTCTTGCTGGAGTCGACCTGAGCAGCGGATGCGACGTAGAAGCTGCAGAGCAGGTCAAGAGGCAAGTCAACTCAGACCAGTATGGTGCCCTGTATGCTGCCGCGCACGCGCCTCCAGCACATACTCACCTTCTTCCTTGAACTCCACATCGCCAGGCTTCAATGCGGCATAGTCATTCTCAAAAAACTGCAAGACGGGGCGACGGGTGCCGGGTGAGGGTGAGCAACATGGACAGGAAGCCTTCATGACTACCACTCCGCTGTTGCCGTTTCCCGTCCATCATCGGCCCAGTCACCGTGCTGCGGGCCATTTGTCCAGCCTCATGGTGACGTATCTCCCCCACTCGCCCAACTCACATACGTTCCCTCGTACTTTTCATTCTTTCCTCCAGTGGCTCGGTCGTTGCCTGGGCACAGGTAGCATTTGGGATCGTAGGCCGGTAAGTGTGCATCCGCACCAGCTTCCTGAGCTCCTTGCCAGGGCCTTTGAGTCCTATGCGCTGCGAGTGCATAGACATGGCAGTCCGGGGGGAGGGTACGCAGCAGTCAGCACGACCCCGCTTGCTCTAGAACGCGAGGTTCATCTAGCCAAGGCGTAGCGTAGCGTGGCTCGGCGTACGGTGACACTTACGAGAGCAGAGCACATGAGAACCTGTGAGCGGGTTCCATCGCCTGTGCGGATGCTGTGAAGGATCGAAAGGGGCTGCGCTGGACATTGTAGCGAGAGCAGAAGTCGCGATGCTGCAAGGATCAGACGTGCGCGCCAAAGGTTGGTGTCGCGTGCAACAGCTGAGATCAGCGACGACGGATGAAAGGGGGGTCAGGAAGTGCGCAGAGACTATTTGCTACTAAAGCAACTAGCTTTCTGTGCCGCTTCGACTAATGAAGAGACAGCCTTGAGCAGCGCTTGATGAAGTTATGCATGAGCGACATGGTAGAAGAGACGAGGAGGAGTTTTTGCAGGGGGTCCATGCTCAAGGCGAGAAGTTTGCCGGCGAGTCGCGTTGCATAGCATCAACAGCAGCAGGTACGTGCATGCACGTCCGCGGGAATCTCGCCGAGATCGGAGGATTTCCCGCACGCGCCGACGGTTGACCCCAAGAAGGTGTGCTACTTGGAAATCAGGATTGACTTCACGCTTGATGTTGCGACTAAATTGTATGTACGGGATATCTGCATTTACGACGAGACGATGATGCTTCACTCTGCTATCCCAGGATGATGACTTACTCGCGACTTATCAGACATGCGCACGTGAGCCTTCGAGGATGCAGTTCCGGCTTCTCCCAACGTAGCAGCACCTCTGGAGTTTACCTGGGACGCGGGACAAACCAGGACGTTCCCACGAAGGCTTGACATGCCTGAAGGTCGTCTCAGGCCAATGACCGTCCAGTAGACAGTTGGCGCCAGCGTGGTAGCCAAGCGCCCTCTCTGGACCTTGAGCTTATACTCAGCAATTCCCTGGACATGCGCCAGCGAGGGACCCACAATCAGGCCTTGACGTGCTCTTCTCACACATCATTCTTGCACCGTCTAGTATGTCAGGGGATTAGAGCTTTGCATGGATCAGCTTGGGCACATGAACTCAAGCTGAGTATCAGCGGATTAGAGCTTTGCCGCATGGTTCTGCTTGGGTACATGGATATGAGCTGGGGTATAGACATCACTGAACCTCTTCTGTGTTGTCTTGCAGGGCAAGACCATCTGCAATGTCAGAGCAAGCAGCAATGCTGGCCTGGGTCTGGATGCATAGGCCCCTGCAAGGTGTGTTCAAGGATGGTCAGGCATTGCCCACTGCAACTTGATGCCTGCAAGTTTTGCTGCAATGTTCCTCATCCAGCTCAGGATAGATCACTGGCCAGCAACAGCAATAGCACGGACAAAGACCCTTCTTCCTTCCTTACAGCAATGATGGCCCTTTTCTGGATGTGGAGGCCCCCCACAAGGTCTGTCCAAAGATGATCAGGCATTGCCCAGTGCAGCTTGATGCTTGCAAGATTTGCTGCCATCCCCTTGGTCCTGCTGAGAGTAGACCCTGTGCCTGCAACAGCACATAGAAACACCCTTCCCCCTTCCTTGCCCTTTTCCACCATTGCAGGGTTTCTCACCAGAAACTCACAATTGATGTGCAGCTTATTCTTGGCTGGGCAGCCAGGCCAGGTGATCTTGAGCTGCATAGTGTCACAGGTGAATGTGTGGCCCACGAACCACACCTTTCCAGTCCACAGACTGGAGGCCAGTGGCATTTTGAGCACCATCTCTCCTCCTGGCTAAGCATAAGCTTCCACCCGTGCAGCTTGTGCCTGGGCCTCTTCATCCTTGATCAAACAAGCCAAGATTTCCCTCATCTGGACAAGTACTGGCCCCCAGCCGCTTCCAGCTGAGAGTAGAGCCTGTGCCTGCAACCAGGCGCAGAAAGACCCTTCCTCCCTCCTTGCCTTTCTCCACCATTGCAGGGGTCCTCACAAGGAATCCACAATCAATATGGGGCTTGTTCTTGGCTGGGCAGCCAGGCCAGGTGATCTTGAGCTCCATGGTGGCACTGGTAAAGGTGTTGGGCTTGAACCAGACATTGCCAGCCCAAAGACTGTTAGCCAGCGGGGTTGCAAGCGCCGACATTGCGCCCTGACCATAACCTTCTGCCCATGCGGTTTGTGCCTGGGCCTCTTCATCCTTGATGAGGCAAGCCAAGAGATCCCTCATCCGAGCAAGTGCTGCCTCCCAGCCGCTTGCGCTTTCAAAGGAGCCAAAATTGAGGATGTGGCCAGTGGCAAGCTGAATTTGGAAGCCGCCAAACTGGATCTTTTCCTCCAGAAGACTATGGAAGAAGATGTCTTCCTTCTGCTCGCCCGGGGAGGTCAGGAGCCGCCCTCTAAAGGACATCGAGTGTTCGCCACGCTTGGGCCTGTTGTTGAGTCCAGCAAGCTTCTGAAGAGCGGTAGCCTGCTTCCAACCGATGCGCAAGTCAAAGAGGTTGATGATCTGCCAGCCATACCCGGGCTGATGATTGGCTGGCTTCATATGAAGGTCCAGCTCACCATCCAGAAACAACGAGGCGCGACGGCACAGCCACATGGCGGTCGCAGCAAGCAGTGGGCAAAGGGTATCCTCGACACCCTCAAGTTCACCAGCTTGCTGTATAGTGGACCAGTCTAGCCAGGCGGACTGCATCGTTGTCAGGACAGGCCGGAGCAAGGGGTTGGTCAAAGCACCAATTGCTTCAAGTCTCCATGCGTCCATCCATCTTCCCATGCCTAGACGGCTGCTGCTGTTCAGACCGTCGAGGCCAGGAGGCGGGAAGGATTGACTACGGTTGCGCAAAAGCTTGGGGCTCCTCGTGAAGGCTCCAAGGATGATCGTCCAAATTGCTTCGACTACTTGAAGAGCGCTTCGCTCTTTCGCGGTGCTGGCAGTGTCAAAGCATGCCAGTGGAGCAAGAGTGACCTGCTCCGGAGCGTTGATGACATGTCTTGCAAATGGGCTGAGAACTTTGAGTTCATGAAGGGTACCAGCAGAGAGCAGATTTGTGTTGGGCTCCAGATCTGGGGCTGAACCAACATACTGTCCCCAAGCAACATACTGTCCCCAAGCGGCGTCGTTGTGCGCAAGCAAGGCATGGAAGACACCAGCACCAGACTGAAGGCGAGCCTGGTTGGATTGATCCGCAACCAACTTGTCTAGACGGTTGGCCCAGACAGCGCCAAGAGCCTTGCAACCATATGGGGTGATGCTTGCCTCGAAGATGCCGACCCAGTCTTCTGTGCTGAGCAACTGAACAACGTGCTCCGACAATTTCTGCTGCTTGGCAATGGTGATCGCTGCCCTACATGCCGCCTTTGGTGTCAGTGATGAGCGCTTGAACATGTTGTGCGGTGGCGGGAGTGCAGCTGCAGCATGAGAGGCATATCCTTCTTCGTCTACTTCAGATTTCCAACGTTCAAGGCTGGGCGAGTTGAGGAAGGCTTTGACGTAGCCTTTCCCTGCGTCTGGGCGGTCGGCTCTGAAGCAGGTTCGATATTCTCAGTGAAGTGTCATCCTGTGCAACTTCTCGAATCGCGCACTCACTCGAAAATCTGCGCAACATCCTCGTACTTGGCGGTGTGGAACATCGCAGCAGTGGGCCGACGCACGATGTTGAGCGACTCTTGAGGCGCACCGTCTGCATTGCTGCTCGACGATGCAGCATTGAGAGGGGCGCTTGATGGTCCAGCGACTCCCAGCTCAGGGGAAAACGTCTTTGCAGTCGTGCTTTTGGTGCGCAGCTTGTCCGCATCGGTTTCTTTCAGTACTCCTTGCCTTGGTTTGGTGACCTCGTCCTCATCTGACAAGGGCAAGAGCTTTGTTCCTCCTCTTTGGAAGCGCTTGAGCGGACGAGGAGCATCTTCTTCCTCTGAGGTGACGGACTGCTTGTTGGGTAAAGTACTGGCGCAAGCAGATGACGAGGTCAACGCTGTTGCTAAAGGTGGAGTCACGTCTGGAGGGCTTTGGGCGGTACTTGTCGAGGGCGACGGCCTGCTGTCAGCAATTGAGGTGTCGTGCCCCTGGTGCGCAGCTTGTCAAACTTGCTTGCTTTCAGTGGTCCTTGCCTTGGGCTGGCGATCTCATTGTCAGGCTCTTCCTCATCTGAGAAGGGCAAGAGCTTTATCCCTCCTCTTAGGAAGCGCTTGAGCGGACAAGGAGCATCCTCATCCTCTGAGCTGATGGCCCGCTCCTTGGATGCAGGAAGTGCAACTGCGCAAGCAGATCTAAAGGTTCAATTCTGTCTTGAGGGATTTGGGCGGTACCTGTCGAGCGCAAGGGCCTGCTGTCAGCAGTCGAGGTGTCTGTTCTAAAGAAGCGTCTCTATCCTGTTGACAATACATGATCTATGCTCTGCAATGCACTGTGAATGTCTCCCAGACCTCCATTGCCTCCCAGACATTCACCTCTGCGCACATCACTACGTCCCTCAGACAGACCGTTCTGTCTCTTACTGATTTCACTCTGCCCCTCACACACACCCTTATGCACCACAATGTCTCCCTCATTGTTCATGCAGCCACCAATGATGCCTGCACTCCAAGCTCTGGCTCTGACTTGGAGATGCTGCGCCTGCTGCAACTCTGCTTTGAACTCATTTCACCCCTGCTTCTCCCCTCATACAATTACATGACACACTCTGTCTCTTGGGCAGGCCTATAAGATGTATATAGAAGCCCATCCAGGCTTCTCTGACTTTGCAATACAACCTTTCCTTATTCAACTTGCCTCCCCATTTCTTCAACTGGCCTCCTCAACTCACTGCTGCCCAACACTGGCCTGATCCCCAGCTGTTTTCCACTTACTTTGTGCTCTTCCACAGCCTCCAACCATCAACCTCTGCTGCCACCAACACCTAGCCCTCTGCTCAACAGCGCAAGAAGCAAGCAGCTTGTTGGACACTTTTAGCTTTGGCATTTATTCCCTGCCACACTTTGGATGCCAAGTACTGCCATACAGTGCAGTGTCTCAAGGCAGTCAAGCGCACCATCTTGGAAACATTCCAGACTGCTCATTTTGTGTGCTGTCAAGTGCGCTCTCCAATGTAGAGCCAGGGCTGGCCCTCCACCAACACCTACAGGTTTGGATTCCAATGCATGCCAAGGTGTCAATCTCATCAATCCTTCATTCTCATATGAACAAGAGCAAAGCACTCTGAACCTTGAACTAGCAACAATGCTGACCAAGCTGCAGCCTGCTGTCATGGTTAGGGCTTAAGAGCCAGAGGACCTTATTTGCGGCAGCATGCATCTTCATCCATTAGAGGCATTGTTACAGGAAACAAGCAGCTCGTCGGACGTTTTCAGCTTTGGCAGTCGTGCCTGAGGCAATAATTCGGATGCCAAATATCGCCACATGGTGCAGTGTCTCGAGGCAGTCTGGTGTACCATCTTGGAGACCTTTCAGCATTTGACTGCCTTTTCAAACGCCAAAGCCAGGGCAGGCCTTCCCCCAACACCGACGGGTGTGAATTCCAACGCTTGCCAGGGTGTCAATGTGATCGATCCTTCATTCTCATATGAAGAGGAGCGAAGCACTCTGAGCCCTGAGCTTGCGACAATACTGACTGAGCTGCAGGCTGCAGTCAAGGCCAGGGATCAAGAGCCCAGCAGTCTGACTCAAGCGGAGGTTGTCAGGCTCAAAAGCTTGTATCACGATCAGGTAGCCAAGCTTGTGCAGGCTGCAGGGTTCACAGCGCGAGGCAAGGAGATATGTCCAGGTTACTGGGAGCTCACAAACTTCTTCAAGCTCGACCTCGACACGGAAGGCGTAGAGTCGCTGCGAAGCCATCCGCAAGTCACATGGCCTCACAAGGACGTCTGTCTGGTGCCTGTCAGCATGATGTTTGCGCCTTCCGCGCCTTTCGACGTGGAGAAGGACATGTGTGCTCGCCACGGGCTGAGGATGCAGATCCTCTTCCAAGGCTTCCACCTTGTTGTCTACAGAAAGCAGAACATCTTACGACTCCGCGCTGGTGCATTGAGGACCTGGGACCCGTCATTCTCTTATGAAGAAGAGCGAAGCACTCTGAACCCCAAGCTTACAACAATACTGACCAAGCTGCAGGCCACAGTCAAGGCCAGGGATCAAGAGCCTGACAGCCTGGCTCAAGCCAAGGTCATCAGACTCAAAAGCTTGTACCATGATCAGGTAGCCAAGCTTGTGCAAGCTGCTGTGTGCTCACCACGGGCTGAGGATGCAGATCCTCTTCCAAGGCTTCCACCTTCGTCTCTGGAACGGAGGACATCTTACGACTCCGCGCTGGTGCATTGAGGACCTGGCATGAAGGCCCCAAGGTGCGCCGCCTCCAATTCTTCCTTCGCCAAATCATCCCTGATGAGGTATGGGAAGAGCGGCAGAGACTGGCGGCGGAGATGTGCCCCAACATCAACATCAAAGCTGGCCTGCAATCGATCATGATTGGTCTCATTGTTGGAGGATGCTGGATCACTAACCTGGCTAGAGGAGCAGATTGTGCAATCACAATCAAGTATGCACACAAGGCAAACATGGCTCACCTCAAAGAAAGGGGTGCCAGCCCTCCTTGCCTGCCATGCAGCTCTTGCATATCAAACCCTGATGCTGTTGCAGCTGCAGAAGAGGGCTTTGCAGTCTTTGTTTGTGCTAGAGATTTGCATGCTGGCAAGCACGCCAAAATTGCCTGGGGCCCAGCACCAATGGGCCCCAGTCTGAAAGCTGTCCAGCTTGAATGGGCCATCGACTTCAAAGCTGGCCTGCAGTCGATTGTGATTGGTCTCATTGTTGGAGAATGCTGGATCACTGACCTGGCTAGAGGAGCAGAGTGTGCAATCATCATCAAGTACATGCACAAAGCAAATGTTCCTCACCTCAAGGAAAGGGGCACCAACCCTCCTTGCCTGCTACACAGCACTTGCACATCAAACCCTGATGCTGTTGCAGCTGAAGAAGAGGGTTTTCCATCTTTGTTTGTGCTATAGCATTGCATGCTGGCAAGCATGCCAGAATTGCCTGGCAGCCAGCACCAATGGCTCCCAGTTTGAAACCTGTCCAGCTTGAATGGGCCAGCGTACAGGCGAAGGTTTGGACCCCTGTGAAGCTGGACCTGCAAAACTCCTTGTCTCATTACGAAGCACTCAGCCTGCTCTCTTAGGTGTCTTTGATGTCTTGAAATTGCGATCTGTGGAAGTCCAGGGGCAATTGCAGGCAATAGTTGGCTTTGAGCATGTTTACAGGTTTGATGCTCCAGAGGGTGGCACCTTTGCCTTTTCCCTGGTGGACCAGCCCCTTGTCTTCTGCAAAGGTTGTATTGGCAACAAGCAATACTTCACTTTCAGAGCCTCCCTTCTGGCCACATATGTCAACCCGTTGGACCCCAACGGCAGGGAGGCGCGCCAGGTTCAGACTGCTGATGGTGAGAAACAGCGCCGTTCGGTACGTATACATCTCACCCTTTCAGGGGCCTTGTCAGCAACTGGGCTCTGGGTGGGAAGTCATCGCCCAACGGCAGGATCAACGTCTACGCGGTGCCTCCTGAAGACGGGCCGCCGTACTTGTAGCTTAGGCCGCATACTCCGCAAGGTCTGATCAAAGCGGACACATGGATCAAGGTCTCGCACCGCGCTAAAGGCTTCAAGGACGTCATCGAGCCCGTGAGGAGATGGCATTGCAAATAGGCCTCTGTGCTCCTTGACCTCGCGCTGCTCCTCAAACTGTGCACACGTACAGGATCACAGTAACGGCATCAGGTTGTTACCACTGCGTGGACTTGCAGCACCTTCGTAGCCCTCCACCTGCGCAGCAAAACCCTGTGCATTTGATCGCTTGGTGCATGTATTTGCGGTGCTTGCGACCATCCTCGGACTCGACGCTACCTGTTGATTGTTCAAGTGCCCATCATTTCATACCTTAATCCCTTCTGCGGCATGGCTTTTGACGCATCCTGGAACAGGTGTCCATTCCGTGAATCACCCTACGATACCTTCATCAAGACTCACGACTGCCTTTGAAAAATGTTTCGCAAATTGTGCTTACGCCCCCCCTCGCGATGTGCAGAGTGAACTGTTTCGCAAATTGTACTTACTCCCCCGTCGCGATGTGCAGAGTCGTTGACCGTCGCGTACATGCACTCGTGACCAGAGATCCTCGTACTTCTTAGGGTATGACACGGCCTTGGTCCGTACCCTTTATTAAGCGCAGCTCGAACTGTCGCGCGGGCGCCGCGCGCGCTGACGCGTCAGTTCGCGCATATGTAGCCACTCTGTACTTGTGACCCAAGGCAATGAACATCATCATCCTCATAGAACCTATCTGCGACAGAACGCGAAGCGACACCGTATCTCTTTGCCCCAGACTATCCACACAGAACAGCCGGCCTTCGGATCCAGTCGAAAATCACTCGCAGGTCTACGTGATCAGGATGTGCTCATATCATTTGAGTGCTGCACATTGTAGGTACGCTGTGAAGATTAGAAGAACAAGGGTGGGTGATAATGGAAAGCGAAGCATGAGGGAAGGTGTAGTTGTTGTCTATGGCACGGTGCCTGGAGCTAAGTCGCACCCTTACTTGACTCCTGGGACACCCTTGGCGCCTGGGAATTTGTTGTAGGCGTCGAGAATGTTGATCTTCTTGTCCTGGTCGAAGGGACGGCAAGGGTTGTCACCGCTGTTTGCAGCCTTCGACCAAGGAGCCTTGAGGTTCTTCGCAACGAAGTCGGTCACAGTCCCTAATGTTTTGTACAAAACGCCGAGCTGGGTCGGGATAAGCTCTTCAACGCCAGCTTGGTAGAGGAAGCAGAGGAGCTCCTGGGGGTCCTTGAGAAGACCGGCCAGGTTGAAGACACCTCCGGACAGGTCACCGACGTCGAGTCCGGCAAAGGAGTTGACGGTACCAGTGTTGCCACCGAAGGAGAGCAGCGAAGGGTCGGTACGGGCAGCAGCCAAGAGCGTGAGAGCAATGTCGACGAGGGAGAAGCTGGAGGCCAGGGGACGACGCTTCCATCCAGGGATAAGTCTCTCTTGACCGCGCTTGTAGACGAGCTTGCCGTTCTCCTTGTAGATACCAAAGAAGGCGTGCAAGTTCTTCTCGTCGAGGTAGATACGGTTGTAGCCCTCGGCATCGGCAGTGTTGTTGGCAGCGAACTCGGTGACGAAACGCTCAGCAGCAGTGGTCACAACCAGACCACCAAAGGCGGACTGGAAGAAACGGGGGTTGTTCGCAACACTGTAGTGCCATCTTGCGGCCTTGTGCTTGAGCATGACCTCAGGGGTGAAGACGTCCACACCGTCTTGAGAGTTGTTGCCACCGTCGGCGAGCAGCTCCTCGTAGAAGGGCATGTGAAGGTCGACGTTGTTGCCACCGCTAGCAGGGTCGTACAAGTCTTGACGGACGATGGAAGCCTGACGAAAGGACACGGTGGACAGGGTCAGTGGCCGAATTCTGCGGTGCTGACGTTGCCACTGCTACTCACATCTCCTTCGTAAACGTTGTGGGCGTTGATGCCGGCGGGGTCACCGAACAGCAGGTTGGTCAAAGAGCCGAGGCTCTTGGACTTGTAGGGGCCACCGATGGACCAGGTGCCGTCAAGGATGTTGCCGTTGAACACGACGGCGTAGGCGTTGAGGGCCAGCGCAAGGTCGGGTCCGACACCAAAGACCTTGTTGATAGCATCGATACCCTGGGTCAGGGTCGTGACACCAGAGCGGTCAAGGTAACCGTGGTTGGCGAGCAGGTTGAGACCAGGGCAAGGACCTGCCGACGTGGGATGAGATGATGAGAACGTCAGACGCGCCTTGTCGACCACTGTTGCACGAGTCACTCACCTCTGATGTCGTTGGGGCCAGGGGGAATGAACTTGTGCTCGTCAGAGGTGAGATCAATGCTCTGCTCCTCGTCGTTGAACTTGAAAGTTGCAGGGTTGATGAGGGCGGTGATGTCACGGTCACCACGTTGAGCACGGGGGTAGATGGGTCCACCGTTGCGGATCTCCTCAGCTCGCTTGACGAAAGCCTTGATTTCGGGACGGTCAGAGTTGAGGTCCAGGCCGCGAGCAACCTCGTCGAAGGACTTGCCAGCGAATGAGGGCAGGGCAGAGACTGTGGTCGAGAGACCAAGACCGGCAACGGTCAGGAACGGGAGAGTGAACTTCATGACGATGATGGTGCGAGGACGGCCGCGGGAGGGTTGGGGGGGG